CGAAAGCGAATTTATGTATTTTTTTTTAAACACTCTGGATTTATTAGGTTGTTTACAATATAATTTTATATTTACGATATTCTAAAAACTAATACAATTAAAATTAATGCGATATTTATCATTTACTAATTTATAAAGAAATAAATATGAAAACAATTTTTATTCATAAATTTATAAAAATTAATAAAATTATTAAAATATGTGGAGCAAATAGAAGTAAATCCTTATTATTTACCATTTTATAAAGTTCAAATCGATAAACAATTATCCGAAGTTTTGCCAACAATTCCAATAAACAATATAGTAAATGAATAGTGAAAATAAACATTCTAATAAATAAATAGAAGTGACAGAACTAATTCCAACTCGGAACTAATTTCAACTCGGAATTAATTTCAACTCGGAACTAATTTCAACTCGGAACTAATTTCAACTCGATTTAAAAAAAAAAAAAAAAAAAAAAAACAACCCTAACCCTAAGTTCCGAGCTGAAATTAGTTCCGGGTTGAAAATTCCGAGTTGAAATTAATTCTGCACCCTATAAATTATGTTAAAATAAGTAATTAAAATAGAAGCGGTGTCATGGGAAAAACGTTCTTTTGACACTACGTTGTTGTACAGAGACTTTTGTTTATGTTTCCCCATCTTTTGTTTTTGTTATAATTTTTTATTTATACATAATCCTCTATTGACACAGTGTTGTAGGATACATAAAATAGGAAACTACTAGAACTCCTTCGAAAGGTAGTGAAGGAAAGCTTGAAGAATGGATTAAACATCAACTGCAAAAAGACAGAATACATGGTTGTTAGCAAAAGGACGAGCCCAAAATACGAATTACAAATCGGAGATACGAAAATTTAAAAAAAAAAAGTGGGGAAATGTAAATATTTGGGGAGGGTTTTGACGGAAAATGGAAAGTGTGATACTGAAATCCGAAGGTGTATTCAGATAGCCATGGAAACATTCCAAAAGCTAAGCAAATTGCTATGAAATAAGAAAATTTCGCTAAAAACAAGGAAAAGAGTGCTAAACTACTATGTAATATTTTCCCTCCTGTCTAGCAGTGTGTTCTGGACGACCCCCTCAGAGATGAAGTGGAGACTTGAAGTAACAGAAATGTGGTTCTACAAAAGGATGCTGAGGATAACATGGACCGAATATGGAAACAACGACAAAGTTTTAGAGAAAATGGAAACAAATAGTAAACGTATACATAACATCATGGCTGTTGAGGTTTCTGGGGCAAATAATGAGGAAGAAAGACTTGGAAAATCTGATACTCACGGGTGAGATAGAGGGCAAGAAATGATGTATAATATACTTTGCAAGCTCGAGTAAATGGATGGTGGAACAAGGTAAGTAAAAGAAGACAACATTTATTAAGAGCTACAAAGGACAGGAAATTGTTGAGAGCCGTCACCGCTTTGTTATGAGAGTACATAGAAGAAGAAAAATTAATAATATTTAATAACATCTAACATTCTAATGTTATAATTTAATAATATTATTTAACAATTTTAATAATATTTAACATTTACTAATAGTATGAAATGAAAATATTCAATTAATAATATATAATGATATATAATAACTTAATCATATTTAAAAAATATTATTTAGCAACTTTATTAATATTAATAATATTCACTAATAGTAATTAATAATAATATTTAATTAATAATATTTAATAAAATTTAATAATTCAATCATATTTAATAATATTATTTAATATAGTAGAAAGGGTATGTCTTGGGCAAGACAGCTTGATGGAAACCAAACCACTCCATTCTGGTTTGAATTCAGATTTTTCCTTCTCCTAGACTGGTTGCCAATGAAGACTATAATAATGTTAAATATAATGTAGTTGAAATAAAATTCATAAATGAATTTTTTTAATGCTTAGGTAAGGAATGTTAAATAATAGTGTCAGACTATTATTTTTTTAGTAGCAGTATATTTAGCTCAGAGGTTGACCTTGGCGTCAGCTGGTAGACAAAACAAAGGAAGTTGTTTTTGATTGGCTGAACAGAACATAGGAATGTTAGAGATGTAAAGTGTTTCTGAAAGTAAGTTTTTGCACGTCGAAGAGAGCAGACGTGGTTATTTCGTGTCTCGGGGAACTTGCTCTCCAGTGGGGGTGATAGAGCGAATACACAGGCTAGTTAAAAATGTACACGTTGATGTGTTTAATACAGCAGTAAGTAAAAAAACCTTTTGTTGAAGTTCTCATTTTATCGACGAATAAACCCAGAAAAGATTACATGGCCGAGAGAAGAAAAAAAAGAGAGAAGAAAGAAAGGAAGGAAGAGAGAAAAGAAAGAAGAAAGAAAAGAAAGAATAAAGAAAAGGCCGAAGAAAGAAAAGAGAGAAGAAAAAAAAGAGGGAAGACAGAAAAGATGGAAGAAAGACAAGAGAGAAGAAGGAAAAGAGACAAGTAAGAAAAGAGTGAAGAAAGAAAAGAGTGAAGAAAGAAAAGAGTGAAGAAAGAAAAGAGTGAAGAAAGAAAAGAAATAAAAGAGAGAAGAAAGAAGAAAGAAAAAGAGAGAAGAAAGAAAAGAGGGAAGAAAGAAAAGATGGAAGAAAGACAAGAGAGAAGAAAGAAAAGAGACAAGTAAGAAAAGAGGGAGGAAAGAAAAGAGAGAAGAAAGAAAAGAGAGAAGTAAGAAAAGGGGGAAGAAAGAGAAGAAAGAAGAAAGAAAAGACGGAAGAAAGAAAAGAGAGAAGAATTAAAAGAGAGAAGAAAGAAGAAAGAAAAGAGAGAAGAAAGAAAAGAGAGAAGAAAGAAGAAAAAAGAGAGAAGAAAGAAACGATGGAAGAAAGAAAAGAAAGAAGAAAGAAAAGAAAGAAGTAAGAAAAGGCAGAAGAAAGAAAAGAGAGAAGAAAGAAAAAAGGGAAGACAGAAAAGAGAGAAGTAAGAAAAATGGGAAGAAAGTAAAGGGAGAAGAAAGAAAAGATGGCAGAAAGAAAAGAGAGAAGAGAGGAAAGAGAGAAGAAAGAAAACTGGGAAGAAAGAAAAGAAAGAAGAAAGAAAAGAAAGAAGAAAGAAAAGTGGGAAGAAAAAAGAGAGAAAAAGAAAAGAAAGAAAGAAAAGAGGAAAGAAAAAAATGAGAGATGAAAGAGAAGAGGTAAGAAAGAAAAGGGGGAAGAAGAAAAGAGAGAAGAAGGAAAAGAGGGAAGAAAGAAAAGTGAGAAAAAAGAAAACAGAGAAGAAAGATAAGAGGGAAAAAAGAAAAGACAACATTATAATCGCTTCCGTCAACCATAAGTCCACCCCCGTGAAGGGGCCATACAACAATCGAGCCCACTTTCACCTGTTATTTACCCATACCCAGGAGAAAGTAAATGTAAACTCTGTTCTCAATCCAAGCCGCTATACATTACCATGTCTCACATTCATTATTAATAATTAATAATTACATTTAATTAATAATATTTAATAATATATCATAAATTTTACAATATCTAATAAATTGATAATATAATCTAACAATTTTAATAATCTCTAACTATATAAATCAGGATGTGTGTGTGTGTGTGTGTGTGTGTGTGTGTGTAACGAATGCACGGCCGCAATTTTCGACGGATTTGCACCAAAAGTTACATGCACATGCTCCAAGTTAGCAGAAAAGCCAAGACCGACTTTGCATTTCCCAGCTCCCATTGATAGTGGAAATAATCGATTTTTTCATGCTTCTACGGCAGTTTTCATGTAGTTTGCGGCCATTTTCTACTGGCCAGAGTGAGAGTCTATAGCTGGCTGCCACGAATAAGCAGGAAGATTCTACTGGCCAGCGTGAGATCCAACAGCTGACTTGCACGAATGTTAACTAGCATGCTAGCATGCAAAAAAAAAAAAAAAATCAATAGCTGCATTCGTCACAAGTGGGAAAGATTTAAATCTGCAATTAAAACTCCAGTTGACTCATTCGCTTGCTTAAATTCAACGTTTATTCTGATTCCGCAGAACTGGGTTGGGTGTGAAAAAAAAGTATTTGTTGTTAACATTCTTTTTCCATTCGTTTTTTCCAGTTACGAGTCCTTTTTTAAAGCTGATCGTTTTGTGTTCATATTGTTTAGTTCTTTTTTCGTAACAGATTTAATGTTTAGTATAGACCTTAGAAAAAAATTCGCAGTGTGAGATAGACAAGAAGTAAGGCATGTAGTAACATCAACACGGCAAAGGGAACTCCTTTAAAGGTAAGGGAGGGCAAAAATATTTTAAGTCAAGTGATAGCGATTGCTGTATGAGTCGTGTCATGCTGCTAGTATTTACTAATAGTAAATAATTATTTCGAGGATGTATCCAAAATAAGAAGCCTGGAACACATCAACATTGTGCAGATCTTGTATTTTTTTCAATTTTGACGAAATGATATACTCTCAATCACTCTCCTTGAGTCTATCGTTACCCAAGTTTACCCCAGATCTCAAATGGAATTCATATGTATCACGAATCACAATGACCGCTTCTTTGCGCTAACATGGGAAATACCTGACGCCACCCTGCCCTGTCGTTACAAGGCTAAAAATCGCCGAAATTTCAGGGATGGTGTTGCTCAATCTTCAATTTCTTTTCTAGAGTTATCTACATCAACTCAGCCTTGAATGGAGTAATGGATAACGGATTGAGTAATCGGAGAGCCGAGTTCGAATTCCAGTCGAATCCTTTACATTCAGTTACGTGGTAATATCCTTGAGAAACGTATGAATCCTCTTCTAGACATCACCCCCACCCCCGCACCCAGCTATAACAGACCGGATTCAGTAGCCTTGGATGGCAACTGGTCTACCGCAGAAAGAAATGGCAATCTACTGCTGGAAAAAAAATCTGCCTCGTCAGTCATGTATCGAAAGATACATGATCGTCTAAACGTGCATCGCGCATGGCACATAACCGATACGGCCTTGTGGTCGATGAAATATTTTCTACTCTGCAATTTTTTTGGTAAATAATATGGTACTGTTTCTTGTGCAAACTGGATTAGGAACCTATCACTTTGAAACACTAGTTCTCATACGATCACCGAAGATAAGCAATGTGGAACCTGGTCATTACCTAGATGGGTCATCGCTTGGGAATACCAGGCACTGCATGTTTTGTTGTTCGGATTGTGAAATGAATGACGTCACCGAAATCCAAATCGGAGAGCCGTATTCTAATTCCAGTCGGGATTGTTATATTCACTTAGGTGCAAATATCCTTTGGAACGACATGAATCCACCTCTTCTCCATAAGCTATGGGTTAATCAGTAGAACGTATACTAGTAAATAATCATTATCATCTAAAAATATTTTCTAGTTTTAAATATCCTGCAAAGGGTCGATAAACTGTAAAAAAATCAATCTTTTCTAAACTGCAACCAAGTAGAGAGAAATATACATAGGTAAATTAATTATGAAATTGCATACATATTGAACTTACCTTTTTAATTAAGTCTGTCACAAGGTCTAGATTATAGAGAGCTGATAACATTGACAACGTTTTAGACTTCGTAATTATCTGTCTAGAGTAGGCACCATTTATATAGCTTTATGTCGCTTTTTTATTTGTACATTGATCAATAATCCTTATCACTTGTGAGATATCATTATAGGAATTGACATGTGTTATGTGGAAATTTAGCATGATGGCGAGAGAATGAACGGTTCACTTAATGCATGGTTATTAAATTAGGGACACCACTTTCTGAGTTAATAACCCGAAATAGCTAGGTATGCAGCTTGTGCGCTAATTACACAGCATGGTTGGACGGGGGCTTCCTAGACTGAAGCCAACAGTCAGGGCGGAAGCTTCCACCTATTGGAATCAGTGGCCATCTTCCTGTGACCAAGGCGAACATTCCATTGCAATCAGAGATCGGCCGTGGTTTGATCTTTCAACCCAGATATGTGGAGGGAACTGGCCAGGTTCTCAGCGACCCTGCGACCATATCTAGTCATAGGACTAGAGGTGGTCGCAGGGGCTCAGGGTGCCTGGTATTCCAACTAACGCCTTTATCCACTGTGTCATGTGTCCTTGAGGACAGTGGATAAAAGCATTAGTTAGATCCAGTGACTAGACCCAAAGAGTGTGAGTTCAATACCTGGTTAAGTGGAGAACTTGGAGAGGGGAATTAACAGGAGATAACTGACAACTGACATCCATTAAACATGGCACATGGAACTAGAAAAGTCTACCCCAGTGAGTGAAATAAAGGGTTCTGTTCGACATTCCAACCATCCGGAGAAGGCCGGAGCGTACAACATCCGAAACGTTGTGATAAATATGGCAACAAAGATGATGTACAAATAGCTTAGATGTGGCACAAGGCCTAAAGAAGGGGGAACCCAGCGAGGATCGAACTCACTACTCAAATATAATTGTTTTAGCGCGACAAGCTTGCTAACCATTACACCGCCTCGAGGTGCCCGTCATAATGTACACATATATGGAAACAGTTGGTCATATCTTTCGACGTAAATATATTTTATTATATGTGATAATTTTCTGGTAAACTTTAAATCCAGTCTATGGCATTCTGATAAATGAAAAACTCAGAGAATTCGCAATTCTGACATTTATGAACTAAACAGAAGTCCAATCTTCAAAAATATATATTTTACTCGAATGTTTTGTCAACACGTTGATGCGTGTTGAAATTCTCATTGTATTTTGTATTGTTGAAGTTATCGCTAACATGTTGGACTCCTCGAGGTGGTGTAATAGTTAACAACCTTGTATCGATGAAACAATTACGACTGAGTTGTGTGTTCGATCATCAATGGTTACCCCATACTGTGCCATATCTAAGCTACGGTTGGAAAATCATTATAGCTAACATGTTTTGTTGAGATTTATAAACTTTACGTTTCGTTCAATTTCGCAAATCAATCGATAAAATTTGAATGAGCTGATTTGTTTGCAAAAATACTTTCTCGGAAATATAGAAAGATACTTTTACAAAAACCCTAATTCCCGGTTTAATAATTTCTTTAATTTAATTTAATTTTATAGGTAAGCAATATTTAAAAAAAAAATGACTTTTTTCCTTTTTAAGAGCGAAGAATATATTTTTAAGATTTCTTACTCTTGAGCATGCAGCATACAATTGGCCATGAGTTAATATTTCTTTCGGGAGCCAAATTCCAACTTTTTGAAGCGTTTGGCCTTATGATTTGTTTACAGCTCTCGCAAACGCAGGACGATCTGGAAACTGGATTCTTGTATATATAAAACGTTAACGAAAAGATATGCAAAAACAATGCTGTATTTTTATTAAATAAGTATTTGTATACGTATAAGTATAATGTATCTTTTATGTTAAATAATAAAACTTAAGTTTTCCCCAAAAATTAATGAAAATTTATTATACTAATCAAGACACCGTAGTAAAACTAAATGTACATTGTATCCCTTACCTGTTTGCACTTTTCACCAAAATTTGATTACGATCGTCAAGCATATCTATTTTAGAGGGTGTGATGGACGAACGGACTAAGAAAAGGCACACGATTTTATATATAAATATAGATAGATGACATTGAAACGTCAATCTGAAATTTTCTTATATTCTTCCTTTTATTGAATTTTGTTTTACCGCTCTGGTTAGATCTTATTTGATGTTTATTTCTTTCATTTTTTGGAGAAAATTTTCATGAAACGAATATTAAGTTTAGTTCCAGATTTTTCTCGCGACTTTGCAAAATTTGTCTGACAAAATATGCTTTTTCCTAAAATATTCACACAAGACATAAAAAGTGGATTTCTTTGTTTTCCAGTTGGTTCACTTTCTGAAAATCTATCTATATTAAATTATTTTACAGATTGTCTTCGAATCAGCGGCGAAGAAAAAGATTGCCAATAAAATAAGTTCAGCTAAAAAATATATGATGAAAAGTTCCTATATCAAATGATGTCTTGGAATATATATATATGAAAAACAATTTCAATCGTAAAAATAACTTTTAAATTAAATTAGAAAAATATAATTTTAATCCAGAATCATTCATGAAATCCTATTTGATATTTAAAGAGACGATATGCACTTTAAGATTTCAATATAGAAATTTCAGGGAAAATGGAGAAATTTGCTCGCAATAAGAGATTTCTTTCCCATGACATCGCTTTCGATAACAGTCTTCAGACCTCGGCAATATTTATTGTTTCACAACGCGATCATTAGAATTGTAATAGAATATCAAGATATGGAAGTAAATTTATACATTTTCTGTGTTAATTAGCAACAAAAATGATGAACTCTATTTATTAGATTTGCACTATTTTTTATACTATTGATTGGAATGGATAGGGCAAACCTCATTGTAAACTTTCATATTTTAGAATTATATCTATACACGCTCTATCTCAAGACAAATGTTGGACTTATTTTCTTACACGTGTTTCTATACAAAAGCAAGGATGTCATTGGTTTATCAGGGTTTTTAAATTTGAGAACTTTCAGGAAAGAATTACTACTTTACCAGTGTAACATACACGACCAAAAATATTTTTTAAAAAAAGTCAAAAATCAAAAGAAAACATTGAAGTGGAAGTGAATCATGTTCGCCTGATAAACTTTTACGGTGGAGTAATGGATAGCGGCCCGGATTTAGAAATCGAAGGCCTCATTGCCCGAGAACTCCGGTCAGATTCATTACATTCACTTACTTTGCCTTGGGAAAGGTATTAATCCGCTTTTTCTCTCCCCACTCACATCTATGGGTAAATAGCAGGACAGACCAGGTTCTATCGTCTTGGATGGCAACTGGTCTAGTGCAGAAAGAAATGGCAACCTATTGCGGGAAAAATATCTGCTTTGTCAGTTATGTATCGTAAGATACATGATCGCCTAAGTGTGTATCATGCATGCAACATAACTAACTGATTTATTCTTTATGTTGACATTTTTTCGGATTCCGATCCATATTCAATCTATATTTGAGTCAGACTCATATATATACAGAAGGAAATTACTGGAAAGTAATTGAAACTCACCGGAAGCGAGCTGAATGTGTAATGCTCCTCATGCCAATGACACTTCCACCGAGCTTCTCTACGGCATATGACTTCACTGAATTTCTTTTGATGGGTTCCTCTCGAATTTATATTTAAACTGGGGTCATCAGGAGAGAATGTGCACCGTTTAGGGGCCTTCCTCTCAACGGTTTCAGTTGCACACCGCCCCCCACCCCTCACTGATGTGAGGCCCCATTATAACGATATACAAGAGTTGTAGATAAACCAGTTCAAATGTGTAACGGTTAAATTAAATTTACGAAAATTCCGAAAAACGGCAAACCTCGCGTTCTGAGAATGCAACGTGAACCTCATTACGCATTCACGATCAGTCATGTCATGCCGTCATGTTCGCTGAAACACTCCACGGAGTATTTCGTTTTTTCCATATCCACATAGAACTATTCTCTGTTACTTCTATTAGGCGTTTTATACTCTTGGCCCTATTACGCCCTTTGATTCCAATTTGGCCCAGAAATTGGTACAGAGTGCCTGAAACGAAACCTCTTGCTCCAATTTCCACTGCTCTAACAATTGCGTTATACCCCTCCTTTATTAGCTCTGACTTTAGATTTTCATATTTATTAGTTTTATAATCGTGGCTTTGTTCCATCCGGCATTCATATGGTACTGATAATTCAACCAAGATGATTTTATGGTTCACCCTTGACAGAAGAACAATATCTGGTCGCAGACCTTTACTTGATATTATTTTGGGGTAATCATTACGCCAACCAGGAAGGTCTGCAGATACCTCCCAGATGCCACCAGAACTAAGGAGATTTTTTCCGGGTATAGCATGACATTTGCTTGTTTGCTTAGAGCCGACATATCTTTTTCCTTCTGCAACAAATTCCTGGGCTGAATTAGATGACTCAGACTTCATGTATTTCTTTATAATTTTGACCAGCTCATCCAAAACACTATTGTGCCTCCATGTATATCTGCCATTGACAAGGGCTGTTTTACAGGAACTAAGAACATGTTCTAATGTTTGTGGCTTTTCCTTACACAGGGGACAAATGGGATCACTCTCTTTCTTCCATTTCACAAGATTGTTCTTAGATGGTAGCAGGTCATACGTGGAACGTATTAAATA